ACTTTTCTTCAATCTAGAGAGAAGTCTCAAGGCAACCAATTAGCCTGAGGCCTGAAGAAAGAGCACTAGCTCACCTGTGGCTATAGAGGGAAGACAAGGTCACCACAGAAGGAGGTATAAAGAATACAACGAAATTTTTCTGTTTGTTTTTTTATTTTTTATGGGTACATAGTAGGTGTATATATTTATGGGGTTTATGAGCTATTTTGGTACAATAATGCAAATTTTTTAGCGAATTGCTAAAGAGAAAATGTGAGTTAGCATGAGAGTATAGACCCCTTGGAAGCCATAGACACAGGACAAAGTTATACAAACATGTAGATTTATGGTACAGATTTGATGGAGATGAAAAGCCATCATAGAGGGCAAGATAGGAAACCAGGTCCGGTTCTTTTCCCTTTCATGAATAAAAGTCTTAAGCCTTAGGGGAAAGGCAGCAAAGTGTGTTCTCCCCAGGGTACGATGAAGACCTACTGCAGATGGGAAAGGGTAAAAAATATCCTACACTTCTGAGGGAAGGGCAAGAATTAGTTGTGGGCCCAAACAATTAGAAGTATCCCACCACTAGAAGAGGGAAAGGATAACTAAGAAAGTCCTACTCCCATGACACAGAGACATAGGATCTTAAAAACACTGAGGTTGAAACAGAAAAACATAGAAATTCTACCTGCAAACACCACCAGACCAATGATCATTTAATAAGAAGCAGTAGTAGGGGAGGACAATAGGATGGTCAGAGAACCTCTTTGAGGCACAGATACAGAGGGAGGATGCAAAGTTGAGGGAAGAACAAGGATATTAAGAAAAACTCTCCAGAAGGCCAACCCCCGTACTATGCACAAGGTAACAGGAATCTGAAGCTAGTAGTGAACTTAGAATAACCCTATCAACAACATAACCCAAATGTACTTTATCTTCTTATTAGATTGAGGGAAACTTCCATATAACAACCTAGCTATAAAAGTGTGCCCATTTCGAGAAATGAATACTGTTTACTTTAATCTCTACTGTTCTACATACTATGTCAATTAAATAAAAATTGTGAAACAAAGCAAAATTAAAAAAAAAAAAAAAACATGCTCAAGAGACAAAGCAATCAGCATAACCAGCCTCAGAGATTACTTAGATGTTGACTCCATCAGATACAGAATTTAACATAGCTATGATAAAAACATGAAATGCTTTAGTGAAAAATATGGAAAACATGAATAGATAAATAGGGGATTTAAGTAAAAATGTTAACTATTAAAAAGTCAAGTAGAAATGCTAGAAATGAAAAACAGTAATATAGCTGAAGAATGTCTTTGGCAGTCTCATCAGTAGACTTGAAACAGCTGAGAAAGGAATCAGTGAAAGTGAAAATAGAAAAAAAGTGATCCAAACTGAAACACAAAGACAGAAAAAGAAAAAAAACACACGCAAACACACTCCAAAACAGAGCATTTAAGAACTCAGGGATAGTATCAAAAGGTCTAACACATATGAAATTGTATTTCCAAAAGAAAAAGATAGAAGATAGGGTAGAAAAAAAGTATTTGAAAAGATAAAGGCCAAAAGTTTCTCCCGAAAAATGAAATATGTCAAACCACATGTCTAGAAAGCTAAGAGAACCCTAAAGATCTCTAATCTTTATCTCAGATAAATATTCTTTCACCACACACACACACACACACACACACACACACACACTCACCCCTCCAGACATTTCATATTTAAACTGCTGAAAAACAAAGACAAAGAGAAAAATCTTGAAGGCAGTCAGAGAAAAAATACAAAGGAGCAAAGGTAAGAATTACAGCAGACTTCAGAAACTGTGCAAGTCTGAAGACAAAGTGGCATGTTAAAACTGTTAAGAGAAAGAAAAAATAATAACTGTCAATCCAGAATTCTATAAATAGTGTGAATATCTTTCAAAAATGAAAGATAAAGACTTTTCACACAAAAGCAGAGAATTCATTACCCAAAAGCCTTGGACTATAAGAAATATTAGAGGAAGTTTTTCAGGATAAAGTTCTACATACCAGAAAGAAACCTAAATCTACAGAAAGAAATGAAGATTCCAGAAATGGTTAAAATGAAGATAAACATAAAAGACTTTTTCTGATTTTTAATTTTTATAAAAGATAATTGATTAGCTAAATTTAAAAAACGTAGTAGTGAGAATAGGAAAAAGAGTGAGTATAGGGAAACTACAGTAGCTTTGTGAGTTTGTGGCATATGTAAAAGTAAAATGTATGACAGCCATAACCACAGCACACCAGTTGGGACACCACACAGTGAACAGGTAGAATACTCCTTGAACCTAGTCTGTGATTACTTTAAGATGTACATTGAAAATCTTGATTACGGTGGCAGTTATATGACTATATGCATTTGTCCAAACTCATAAAGTTGTACACTTAAAATATTTAATCTTACCAAATATATATTATATCCCAATAAACCCTGAGTTTTAAGAAAGTATATTCGCATGCACAACTTACCTTTTTGCGCTCTTAATTTTCTTCTTTTGGTAGCACCACAGTTCATTATCACATGAATGATAATGAGCAACCATCTTTTTGTGTTGTCTAATTTTAACCTTGCTTCTTACCTTATATGACTCTGAAGTTCTTATTTCTCACATCTGGTGACTCTACATTTGAATCAGAACAAGTACACACAAACGCACACACTTCACACATACCCTAAGGAATTAAAATGTGTATAGAGCCATGGAGACTGTAAATGTACCATAAACATTCTATGTATAAGATGTAGGTATCTATGTATAAGGTGGCAAAGCTGACGTAGGTAACATAAATGTTAAGTAATTGTTCACTACGGGATGCAATTGAGGTAGTATAAAAAATATATTTCAGTCTATATCATATCACCATCTATAGTTTATTGATTCTGTTAATAGATATGGTCAAAATGGTTTGAAAAAGTTTGGTGATGAACACTGGCATTCTTTCTATTCCCTATATTCACCAAGGTTCTTTCTGTTTTGAAGACCTGTCCACATGCTATTTCTACTACTCAGTTTCTATGCTATGAGTACTTTATTTAATTTATTATTTTATTATTTTTATTTTTAAAGAGATAGGTCTTACTCTGTCACTAGGACTGGAGGGCAGTGGTGTAAGCATAGTTCACTGCAGTCTCAAGCTCCTGGGCTCAAGTGATCCTCCTGCCTTATACTCCTGAGTAGCTAAGACTACAGGCTCATACCACTGCACCTGGCTAATTTTTTTTTCTGATTTTTTTTGTGGAGATGCGGTCTTGTTTTGTTGCCTAGTATGGTCTCTAAGCTCTCGCTTTAAGCAATCCTCCTGCCTTCATCTCTCGAATATTGGGATTACAGGAGTGAGCCACAGTGCCAGGCCCTATGGGCGCTTTTATGCAAAGTTTAAAAAGCATCCCCCATTCCTACCTGGGCAGATGCATAAGAAAAGAAGCCCCTCTGGGTAGATGTAGTCCCAAAGTTGCAAGACTTGGCAAGAAAAAAGGCACCCTTATCAGAACTAGAAAGAAGCCCCTTTCTCTAGGCTTATGCTAGGACACCTTTACACAACCTATGTGTAGAGGACCTGTGGTTAGTTGGTTATAAGGATCAGCCTCATCTAGTTTTTGAGTGACAGGCCTGGGGAAAAGGAGCACTGCAATTGTATAGAATATTACATAAGATTGAGAAAATGTCAGTTCTCCATATTAAAGAGTAGAAGGGTACCTGTTCAGTGTAATAGGGCTACTAAAGCACCCCATCCCCAAACTAGCCCTTAACACTATCCATACCTCCACCTAGAATGTATTAACATCATCCTCCAAAAACACACCTTTTCTTGGTTTCCTCGTATTTATCCTCCTGATATCAGTTTAATTGCCGCTTTCCCTTTCCAGGGAGTGGGAAATCAACACTGACCTTTCAATCTAAATTAATCCCCCCTCCCCCGCTGCTTTAGGCTTTTATATCACTAAGAATTTTCTTACAGATCATATATCACAGTTACAATTATAGTCATCCCTCAGTATCTGTGGGGGATTGGTTTCAGGGCCTCCTGTCGATATCAAAATCAGGGGATGCTCAAATAACTGATATAAAATAGCATAGTAATTTTTGTTTGTATGTAACCTATGTATATCCTCCAGTATACTTTAAATGATGACTAGATTACTTATAGCATTTAATTCAATGTAAATACTATATAAATAGTTGTTACACTGTATTGTTTAGGGAAAAATGACAAGAACAAAAGTCTGTACATGATGCAACTTTTTTTTAGTATTTTTGATCCAACATTGGTTGAATCCATGGATGTGGAACCCACAGATACAGAAATACATAGTTATTTGTGTGCTTACTTATGTAATGTGTGGCTCCCCCAACATTCCCCACACATATCACATATATATACTTAATCACATACCTTTCTCCACCATAAGTCCCAAAAGAGCAGGGAACTTGTCAGCTTTGTTCATTATTTTATTCCCAGAGACTATCACAGCACCTGGCACATACTTAGTGTTTAATAAGTAATCATTAAATAAATTCAGATTATTTCTTGTTAGATTCTTTAGCAAATTTTATCATACATGTGCACACTCAAGTTCCAGAGTATGACATAGAATGTTATGGAAAGATTCCTTTTAATAACATTCAGTTTTCAGCTGAATGTGAGTAATTAGAATGGTTTGAATGCGTACTATAAAATCAGTGATATTTTATTTGGGTATATCTTATTTTAATTATTTCCATTTGCCATTGGTGACTTTTATTTATTTTCTGCTAATTTTTAGATGTTATGTTTGGTTGGATGTTTCACTATAGATTAGCCAATCCATTCCTTTTGTGATAATAAAGAGTAATTTTTACAGATGTCACTGAGCTATCTAATTTGGTTTATATTTCAAAGTGAAATGTCATATTTTGGCATTATTTGATTTGTGGCATGAGTGACTGACTCACAATCTTTGTTGTCATTAGAAAATGAATGAATAAATAATGTAAGTCAACTTACCAAATAGATTCTGCCGTAAGTACCAAGACCAATGGTTTTATCTAGTGAGAATATTCCAGTGGGATCCTACAAAAAAGTAAAACAAAAGCTGTCAATTTTCTTAGGAAATGAGGTGACCATTCAACTATATTAAATGGCATTTCCAATCTGCCTTGTTCCGTTAGATTTTACATGGGAAGAACCTAGTTTTCATTTACCAAAAATAGACATGTCACAATCTCCTTGAACTGAGTATATTCATTTATAAAAAAGAAAAAGGAATATGAACATTAAGTAGTCATGTAATTATTTATCATAAAACTGTAAAATGCACACAATTATCTAAAGCTGAGGCATATTAACGATGTAATTAGAAATATAAAAGAGAAATAAGCTCATTTATTTGCAATGGAAGTATTCTTTTTTTTATTTTTATTTTTATTTTTATTTTTTTATTGCATTTTAGGTTTTGGGGTACATGTGATGAACATGCAAGATTGTTGCATAGGTACACACATGGCAGTGTGCTTTGCTTCCTTCCGTCCCCTCACCTGTGTCTGTCATTTCTCCCCATGCTCTCTTTTCCCACCTCTCCACCCCCCCGCCCCTCCCCCATTTCCCCCCAACGGATCCCAGTGTGTAGTGCTCCCCTCCCTGTGTCCATGTGTTCTCATTGTTCAACACCCGCCTATGAGCGAGAATATACGGTGTTTGATTTTCTGCTCTTGTGTCAGTTTGCTGAGAATAACGGTTTCCAGGTTCATCCATGTCCCTACAAAGGACGTGAACTCATCGTTTTTGATGGCTGCATAATATTCCATGGTGTATATGTATCAATCTTTTGAGTGATAACCAGCCAAGCAGAAAACTTAACATGCAACAATGATGACTAGATGTTGGATACAAAGCCTAGATTACTTATTTGAATTATAGGTTGATGCAAAAGTAATTGTGGATTTGGCATTAAAAGTAATGGCAAAACCGCAATTACTTTTGCACCAACATCTAGCAGCTCTTAAGAAAGAAATACCAACTCTAAATATGAATAACAAAGCAAGATCATGATATTAAAAGATCATCACTTTAAGAAAACTAGACAAATTTTTTAAAGTTAAGCTTTGCATCTGCTGAATACCTTTTCATGGCACGAAGTGACGTTTTATGTGACTTAACCCTAAATACGGCATCATAGAAAACAAAACATATCATGTTTTGGGATAGAGTTGCGAGGGTTCCATATTTATCTTCAAGCATTTTTTTCTTACTTTTAATTATGAGTACTCCTTTATTGCTCACCACAAAACATGGTTTCTTGAATTTTACCACTGAACTTTTAGTCTAGCAGCCTATTTTTCTGTTTTAGCAAAACTTATATGAGGCATGAGTAGATGCCAATTTATACACAAAATGGTAAGAACATTGGCACGTTCTTGGAAATTCACATACCTTATAGAATTTTTTTTTTATATACACAAACGTTGTTTAATCCTGTTTGAAAACATTTTTATTTCTGTGACAAATATAAGCTAAACAGGAAAACTGCTGAGCATATGCAACATAGATGAATGAAATTATAAAGTCCTTAAAACTTCCATGACATTTGTGTAATCTAGCAAAATTGTTACAGGAAAATGACATAGCTTTGAGGTTACATCATTCAATAAGTATTCAACTGGACAGAGTCAGAAGACTTGAATTTTAGCCCCAGCTCTACCATTAACTATATGACTCTGGGTAAATTATTTACTCTCTCTGAGATTCAGTTTTCACATATATAAAATAGAAGTGTTGTGACAGGTGATCTCCCAGCTCTAAAATTCTACAGATATAAATCATAGTCTATCAATCATTCTAAAATCTAGATGTTTCCACTGAATTGATAAAATTATTGTTAGATAAAGCAGCAGCCTAGCAGCTTAGTCTTTCAAAATGCTCATCAAAGTTAAGAACATAATACACACAGTTAACATTTCAAACAAATAGTTTAGGAAATATACTCCCAACGAAAATGTAATTGATCTAAAATGATAATTTTTAGAATCTAAGAAGTAAAAATAGATCTTTATATTATCCTTATTATTAAGTATATCACTGGTGTTATAACTAATTGAAAGATTCATGAGAGACAAGCCAACAAAAAAGTTACTAGAGACTGACTTGAAGACTTTATCACTGTAGCAATGGATATCATAGAGGGATTGATTTTAGACATCGTTAATTCTGGAGAAACAGCCTTTGGCCATCTGTCAAAATAACCAAACATGTTAGCTGATTCCTGTTGGTAAACTATTCATTGCTATATTTAAGGCTGCATTTTAGTTGGAAAAGATACCACAGATTAGAGAATTAGTGTAACATCTGCACAACCTTTATTCGTGAATCTTTGAGCACAGTCTTAGATTTCTTTATTTCTTTCTCTAGTCCTCAATAACATAAATACCTCACATTGCCTTGAATATAGTTATCTAATTACTCAAAAACGATACCAAGGAAATGGACTAGAGTAATTAAAGGACTGCAGAAATTCATGGAGGCCTCATTATCTATGTCAGGAAACTTGTTTTCTGCTTGCAAATGACCAAACAGCCTTAATTATTTTCACACTCATGTTTAATAAAAGAAAATTTTTAAAAATTTCCTCTTAAATGCAGCTCAACTTCGTATTCATATAGTCTAAGTCTATATTGTTTTCATTAGTTCTATATGCTAGTTTTTGTTCCTGATCTCCATGCTACTGTCTTTCAAGAGTATATGTTCAATTGGGAAAAAGAGGGGGAGGACTATGCTTAATATAAGGGTAACAATGCCATGAACTGCCATGCAAAACTGCTACAAAGAGAATAAAATACCTAGGAATACAACTAACAAGGAACGTACAGGACCTCTTCAAGGAGAACTACAAGCCACTGCTCAACGAAATAAGAGAGGGCACAAACAGATGGAGAAACATCCCATGTTCATGGTTAGGAAGAATCAATATCGTTCTCACTCATAGGCGGGTGTTGAACTGAGAACACATGGACACAGGGAGGGTAGCATCACACACGGGGGTCTGTTGGGGGGAAATAGGGGAGGGACAGTGGGGGGTGGGGAGTTGGGGAGAGAGAGCATAGGGAGAAATGCCAGATATAGGTGAAGGGAAGGAAAGCAGCAAATCACGCTGCCATGTGTGTACCTATGCAACAATCTTGCATTTTCTTCACATGTACCCCAAAACCTAAAATGCAATTTAAAAAGTGCCAAATTCCTCATATCATATTTTGCACTTATAGTCAGAACAAGTTTATTCTGGATTTCCAAGGAAGGGAGCATTGAAAAGGAACATTCTTTCTGGTCACTGGGAAAACAAAAGGTCCACATCAGAGGGGTCTCCATAATCATTTGGTCCTTTCCTCAGCCTTCACACCTTAAGATAAGAAAACCAGAAGAGGACAGATATTCATATCTGTGACTGCTATATCAATTTGAAGATTATTTGGGGTTTTGGTATGTTTTGATGTCCCATTTGGGTACATAAAATGATCAGTAAAGAATAAAATAATTTCTAAAGCTTGTCTTACAATAAATTACTAAAAATCGAAGTACTAAAATATTTCTCAACTATAAACTGTTAAACAAACATGTTATACTTTCGTTATCCCTTTCTATGCATCTAAATTATCTCCTGCAGTTTAAAAGTCCTAGTCTGGCTGCCCACTGAAATTGCAAAATTTTGGGGAGTTGTTTCTGTTTCCTGATTTCAGGGGCAGGGAAGAAAGACCACCTTGATGGTTAATTTTAATAAAAGCCAGGAATGGGAGTAACAGGAAGGAAAAGAGCCACTAGAAGGCAGTGTTAACTGGTCAAGGGAGAGAATTTCAAAGCAGAGGCTGATCCGCAGAACCAAATATGGCAGAGATTAAGGAGAAAAGGGAACCAAAAATCATCAACAAGAGTAGGAAGAAATTTGAAATTTAGGATAGTAAAGGAGAGTGAGGAATCATGCTCCAGCAGTCAAGCTGCAAAAAGGAGACTGTACAGTAACCTCAAAGGAGATGGCAGAGGCTTTTCTCCTTTTATTTGTAATATTAGAAATGGCAATTTTATGAAAATAAAATCGAGAGAGAACATGAAAGGGATAGATATGGCAAGATGAGTTCCAGAGTGATTTGCTGAGATAGTTGGAGGAATGGGCTTCAGAATTTACATGGAGACGTCAAAAGGGAAAATCTCTTCCTCCAGACCAGTGTTTCTCAAACTGTAGACTGTGTAGACTCTCACTACATGTGAATCATCTGAGTAATACTATTAAAAATACAGATTCCTTGGGCCCACCATGGAATTATGAAATCAGAATTTCTGATGATGGGTCCCAAGATCTTGAAATAATTCTTGATTTTTTATAAACTGCTCTTCTGCACTAACATATGAAAACCACTGCTCTAGAAATCGAAGAAGAAAAATGACTGAGAAAATAAACTGATGTACAGTGTTATGTAGAGGTGATGCTTTACATGTAATTGAGGATTATGCTGAATGTTTCAATCACTGTTGACTTAAATGAAGGTAAAACTGCTTCTAAACAGGGGACTAAGGAACTTGATAAAGTGGGAAATTTCTCATGACCAAATGTGAACAGCAGGCCTGATCTGGGTGGAAGAAGACTGGGAGAGTTGGCAGTTATATTTAAATATAAATCTAATGTATTTCAAATATAGTTTTTGGATCATGTGCTATTTCAGATAACCTCTGCCACTACTGTCCTCAAGGCCTGTCTAATCCTGACCCCAATATAGATTAAGACTACACATAGCAGTGTCAAATACCAAGGCCACAGCCGTGAGGAATGTCATTACCATACTGGGCACAGAAGGCAAAGGGGACAGTCATAGTGAAAGACATGACAAATTTGGAGAGGAAGAAATAGTTTCCAGTCTCAAGGACACAGGCATACTAGAAATAATATATACATAGTATTGTGTATATGTTTGTATATACATATATATATATTCACACATACATGTTATACACACACACACACACACACACATATATATATATATATATATATATATATATATATATATATAGAGAGAGAGAGAGAGAGAGAGAGAGAGAGAGAGATGCACATCCCTAGGTATCGCTGGTAAGCAAGGTGAATATATATACATATATTACAAAGATAAATATATATATATATATATATACGACATAAAGCTTTGTACTCTTTTCAGAAAGGAAGCACAAACAACAAATCTCTGCATTTTCCTTTTTGTTTTTTCACCTATAGAAAATATTTATTCAATAGAAAATCAGAAAATTAGTGTAACCCATTAATTAACAAACATAATGATATTGATCTATTGTAATTACATTGGCTCTCTTATTTTATGTCTCTGACTTTAGAGCATTATCCAAAAAAGTTATATCATTGTATAAAAGTTATTTTTTTAATTTTAAAATTTACATAATTTTCTCACCCTTTCTTGTTTCCCTAGCTTTCACTCCCGCTTAGTATTTTAGGTTTAAAAATAATATCTAATAGCAAAAATACCAAATAACCTTCTACCACTGTCTTCAAATCTCAATTTGTATGGCAAGTCTATCCTCTCTCAAGGGTCCTTTGTCTTGTGGTCATTTAGCTGGCTAATCCTACAAAAAAAATAATAATCTTAAACTAGAGCCGTATTTAATTATTATTCCACATTCTGATTTTTTTTTTTCTAAGTTTCAGACTCCAAGGTTTGAATCTTCCCTCATTGTCTGGCTGTTGCCAAACTGGTATACTTGGTGTTTAGAGATGTCAATTTTCTGACTTTCACATATGTCCTACGGAGGATAATTACTGCAAGGGATACCATCATATGCAGGTTTCCTTACTTGCTTTATCAACTCTGCTTTGCATCAAAATGCAAACTTTAACAGAACTGATTCAGATGTCTCTTTACCTCTTTATTTGCTTTTACTTCTTCAAAGAGTCAGAAAATAAGTCAAATGTAAAGAAACCCCAAATCGCTGAAAAATATGACTCAGTGACCAAAGCAACAATAACTTTCCCATGTCTAAATATTTGATAGTAAAGAAACTTCTAAAGGGCACGCTACTGCTCTTCTGCCAGATTTCTTAGGGTTTGAATCTGGGTGAGGATAGAGGGCGAATTATGCATAATTTGCTAGGAGAGTGAAGAGCCACACATGAGGCAAAATGGCTTAGGTATAAAATTTAGAAATTGTTAGAATCTGAGGATTTTATGAGACTTTCATGAAGTCTGTAAAATGAGGCCAAGCATCAGTGCCCTGAGGTTTTGTATCTTCTCACTACTCCCCTTACATTAAAAACCAACCTTATCTTTCTACTTTTCCCACACAACCACTCCACCAGCCTCCAGGAAACTAATATTCCACTGAACTGCAATGTAAAGATTGCAGCCTTTCCTCTTATCTCCTGGACTCCACCAAATTCTTATGTCCCAGGACCATGACCCGGTCAGTTAGTCTGGGCCGTTTCCCCCCCCACCTTTTTTTTTTTTTTTTTTTTTTTTTTTTTTTTTTTTTTTACGGCAATAAAACCTTTTCTTCTTTTTCTCCTTAGGTTTTGAATTTCCTGTCCTATTATTTCTGTGCGATATTTCCCATTTACCCGTTTAGTCATATTTAGAAGGGAGTTTATTTCAGTTTTCCCGCCTGCCTTCATCAGTTTCACATATCTGCCCTAGTTTGTTTGTTTGTTTGTTTTTTTCTCTTTTCCCAACCGTAGGCAGAGAACGTTGGAGGAAGGGTAACATTTTATTCCTTGGTTTTATACTTTTATTTGAGTGCAAATCTAGTCTGAATATGAAAGTTCTGTTTAGAAAGGAAACCACCAATTGAGGCCTCCATATTTCAGAAATCTCATGTATGCACACTGAAAGGAAGAAATTGTGGGTGCGTGCAAAACGAGAAAATGTTTAATTTTAAAAGTTATTTGACATATTTTATGAAGCTGCATAATTACAACACTAATATCTGTAATTCACATTTGCATAGACTATTTTAAATGGTAGAGAACAATTTGGTGAAATGTTACCCCTGTGTACCACCTTACCTCCTCACGTACAGCACCTAGTGTAAAATTATATAGGGAAAGCTTTGGGAAATGCTCTATTTTTGAGGGAGGTAGGCTTCTGTCATCATCAAAAACACATTTTTAAAATGCCAAATATGTGTAAAATTAAGTCAATCGACTTTGAATAGTCCTATAACCTCAAGGTTAATATTTAGCTTTTCTCAAACCAAGCAGGCCACTGCCCTGAACTACAGTTGACTGGTGATCATTCCAGCGCGGTGCCTGCTTATTCCCTTTCGGAGAATCCAGGGGCCTTTTGCATTCAAGACAGGGTGCGAGTGAAATGCCAGTCTAAAACGGGAACCTGAAACACTGTTGAGTGGGATCCAATATTAGCCAGAAACCAGATGCCAATGAAATAAACTGTGCTGCCAAAATAATAAGTCTACTAATCACGACGGCGATAATAGCTTACCAATCAAGTACAACTCTAGAAGAAAGCTGGACATCCGGGAAAAGAAGAGCTCACAAATGAAACTCACAAGAAAAAGCTAAATCTGGTTAGGTAAGAAACACAATATTAAAAACAAAACAAAACAAAACATGGAGTGTGCAGAATTCACTCCTTTCCCAAACGGCGTCGAGTTCTTTCACTCTCACAACACTAAATCGGGAACATTGCCCTGGCAAGAATAAGATTTTAGAAAGTGTATTAGAAAATAAGAACAGTGGGACTTAAACGCTTTAATTTTCTAGTCACTGTCACCTAAAAGTAAAGGTCACCCACCCGTAAGTAGGCATCTCCGATGGCAAAAGAAGTAGCAAACGTCGGGGCGGCAAGATAACAGGGAGGAGTACTCTCAGGAAGCCACTGGAGTTTGCACTTTTTGGCCTCTGTTGGAGCAAGCGGGCTAGGACAGGTACAGCAGCTCCGCTAGACAAGACGGGTCAGAAGTTTAAAATGTCCCACTGTTCAGGGTCTGCAGCACCCCACTGCCACCTTTTCTCTCTGTCTCTCCTTCCCAAGACCCTGTGCCTTTGCCTTTCTTGGGAAATTGGTGAGGTCCTGGTGCCCAGGGGGCGCCTTTTCCGCATGTCGGCTCCCTGGGTCTCCTCCTGCGCCCGCGGGACCCGTCGAAGTCCTTGTCCAGCCGGTTTTGAGGGCTTCCACTCCCTCCCCGGTGCTCAGAACCCGCCAAAATAGAGCATTTCGGAGGGTGATGGGAGTCCTCTACTCACCGGCAAGTGGCCCAGATCCGTGACTTCCTTGTCCCTCCAGCCCCCAGGTCCCGCCATGGCTTCGAGCCGAAGGGGAGCGGGCCACTGAATTGGGTGCACGCAGAATCTGAGGTGGCAGCGGATGGAGAGTTGAAGGGAGGAGACGGGAAGGGGCAGGGCGGGAGAAAGGAGTTGGGGGATCGGGGATCCTTGCGTGGGAGATAGAGGAGGGGAAAAGTGGAGCGAAAAGAGTTGGGAGTGGAGGGAAACCGAAGTTTGAGAGGCGGGAAACCAAGTTTGGCTAAGGCGAGAAAGGAACCTGAGAGTCCGTACTGGAGACGAAGCTAGCAGGCAGCTCCGTGGCGAGAGCGCTGTGTCTGCCCCTTCAGGGTGCGCCTCTTTCAGGGTGGGGAGAGGGGCGGTGCAAGGAGAGGGGGCCCGGGAGCAGCTCGAAAGGGATTGGTGCAGCGTCACGTCGCCAGGTGGGCAGCGCGCGGCAGGGAGGCAGGCTAGGAGGGCCACCGGCGGAGGGAGGTGCTGAAGGACTATAACGGTTTGCAAGCACGCCCTTCGCTGCCTCCCCCAGCGCTCCCGCCCCCTCCCACGTCCACTGCTGCGCCCGCCGCCCCTGCCCCCGCCCCCGCTGGCCAGTGTTCCACAGGAAACTTTTTCCAGGCAGCTGCCAGCCCCGGAAAACCGGTCCCGCTCCGCGCCGCTCCCAGTCTGGGCCCCACAGCCCTGCCACAGTCCAAACAGCCCGCGCCCTAGGCTTCCCAAGAAACGCTTGTGACTTTTTTAGTTGTCTTTTTTCTCTTTCTGTCCGATTTTATCGCTCCATTTACTGCGAAGTCCCACCGAGTTACAGAGGGAAAGGACTTGCCACCGGTTTAGGGATCCGTCCTAGGCGAGCCCTTATTCGAGCAGAGGAAGGGACCGAGTGCACCCCGGGGCTGTCACAGTTCGGCCTTCGAAGCCATTAGCCTAGGGCAGGAGCAGAACGGACAGAGCCTCTGGGAACTCTCCTCCCAGCAGGCCTTATCTCCTCTGGCCCTAGGCTAGGTCTTGCCAGGTCTCAGCCGCTCACTGAGAACAGCACCTGTTCTCAGGTGCGCAGCTGAGTAAGACTGACTGTCTCCAAAGCCTGAGCTGCCCTGGGTCCTAAGTTTGCAGACGCGTTAGTTGCAGCGCGCGGAGAAAATTCCTGCTTTCCTTCCAGTCTCCAGCATTCCGGCCGGCCGGGTTTCATTCATTCGCTCATTCATTGCAAAACTTTTCCAAGTGCCAAAGCTGTTTTCCTCTAAAGCGCTGGGGACTGGCACATGGCTTAAAAGAATTTCACAAACGTGATTCAGCTTTGAGAAGGAGCCCCTTGAAACATTCATGGGAATGGGAGTCAGTGCGTAAAATTAACCGCATTCTAAACTGGTGCTCTGCAGAGAGCACTTTAGTAGATTTCCCGACACTGCTTACTTTCTCTGGAGCTCCCAGACGGCGTTCCGTGCACCTGATCTCCGGGGTCGGCAAGTTAAGTAGGAGGACTTGTTTCCTGTTTCTTTCTTTATTTTTAAATTAATAATTACCTACCTCTTTGAACAAGATTTATACGAATACTTCTCACTGACCTCGAGCTCTCCATTTCTGACTCATTCTTCTAATTTCTATAATTATTATCTTTACATATTGGTGGATTTTGTTTATTTCGTGTCTGTTTCAATGCCAGAGTTTGACCTCTTTACATTCGTTAATTTCCAAGCCTCAGTGAGCTGTGTAATAGCCATAGCCTATCTGAGGAACCGGGTCTCGGTAAATAAAATTCTCTATTAACGAGTGAAGATAAAACCAACCACTACCTCTCCCCCAAAACAAAATCGGGTGTGCTGGATCGAATTTTCTCGATAATTTAAATGTGATACATACCACCACAGAAAGTACATTTTCAAATAATTCAAATCTTGACAATTTCATCACACAAAATAATTCCTTTTAAAACACACTTTTAAGAATTCCTGGATGATCAGTAAAACTCTTCTGAATCTTTCTAAATGTGAGTCTGAAATTAACATTTCTTAACTAGAGAAGAGTAGGTGAACTAGTTAGTAGAAAATTACACTTTTACATTTAGTTTTTAGAAATAAGACATGGAGTCAAAAATACAACATTTAAAGGAACTCTGAAGAGAATCTTTGCTAACGGGAGAAACTGTTCGCAAGTCACGACTTTTTTTTTTTTTTTTTTTTTTTTTTTTTTTTTTTTTTTTTTTTGCAATGCGATTTGCTGAACGCCACGTGTGGGGAAAAAATACTCCGTGGCCCCTAATGGCAAAGACTGTTTTAGCCTGTCTAAGGGGCAATTCCAGGCCAGGAAAACAATCCAGACTAGATCATTGAGCTCTCTAGTTGCAAGAGTCTGTGGGAGACTAGCCGCTTGGAGACTCCGTAGGGATTAGCCACATCCTGGGACGCCACCCCCCTGGGTGTGGGAGTGGAAACTACATGTTTGACCAGAACTTGACAGAGAACTTACACATTTTAATAGTTATTGTTATTTTCAAGGGGAAAAGGAGGCATGAAAGAGCAGAGAAACTTTACCTTGTAAGCTGGCATTATGGGGATTTTTGTGGCCTGCTTGGGGAAAGTCAGCTCCTCTAGCAGAACAGAAGTCAAATAGATGGCCCCTAGGCATGGGGCTGTGCCCTGAGCACCACCTTCAAATAGGGCACTTGTTTTCCAACTTCAGGATTTCTTTTCCTTTCACCCTATTAACCATCATTCCCCCTGCCACCTTCCAACATGTTGTTAGTTCTCTCTTTTTTTTTTCCTGACTTCAAACTGTATGTAAATGACCCTAATCTGTCCAGGGTCTGGGAATTTCTCAGACTGTGTTTTACCCAGGAATGAGCTCTCTGCCAACATTACATGTCCCATATTTGTACCGTTCCTTTCTTCTCCGATTCATTTTGTTATCATAAAGCCATTAGCCCTTTGGAACTTTTAATTGTTGATATATGGTAGTAGCTAAAATTGATTAAGTGCTTACTGTATGCAGCAGACTAAGTGATTTGCATGCATTATCTCATCTAATTTTGTTGACAATTATTCTAGGTTTCAAATTTTTGTCCCCAAGTGTTTAGTCAAGGAAATTGAGGCACAGAGAGATGAAGCAACTTACCTAAAGCGTCACAGCTAGTAATTGGAAGAGCCTGGCTTCCAACTCAGGCAGTCTGATTCCAGAGCCCACTTGTCAATGACTGTTGAAAGGCCGGTGCATATTTTGAGACTGTGTGAAGAGGAGCCAAATTCAAAAAAGCTTGGGGTAAGAGAGATCAGATGACATTAGCTAGGCCCCTGACCTATCCAGTTCTCCCTTTCCCTTTCAGCCCTCAAGCCCTCCTAACAGAAATAACGTGGGATTTATAAAAAGAAATGGAACCCAGTCACAGCCTAAGAGTAGGTAGTGACAGCTTGAGCAGATATCACCAAGTGGATCACCTCAGAGTGCAAAATCATGGATTTCAAGCTAAAAAACTTCCAGAAAGTAAAACAGTGACTTTTAACACTAAAAAAATTAAAATATATTCCCATTCCTTCTTGTGAATTTTTTTTCTGGGAACAAACCTCATTCAGTAAGACTTGAAGGAGGCTGTGTTTGTGAGCAATCGTGCTTAACAGAACTGAGATGTTACATGGCAAGTTTACAGACAGTAGCTCAGTTGGTAGGAGTACCATGGACATGGTGCCAAGGGCATGGGTTTGATCCCCTAGAGGACCAGTATGCATCTCTCTGCTCTTTGGACCTTGATAACACCTCCCTTCTTGCCAACCTGCATACCTTTTACTGGAAAAACAACTCCAAAGTCAGTACTTCCATCTTTGTATACAAAGAACCACATATCCATTTTGATATATAAGTTGCTAATCACATAATCTGAAGAAATTACACTGCAAGGGCATGTGTGTATTATGAAAAATACAGATTCGAAATATTCTTGATTGTTCCTTCTTTTTATATTTACACATTTAAGATTGACAATATATATCTTAATAGACACAATTAAAATAATTGTTTAAAATCCCATGAAACACTTAATTAAAATTTTCAAGCATACACAAAAGATCTCTCATTTGCTGGTTTTTCTCTACTTTGACAACTCATATATGAAAATGAGTTCTTCTGGTAGCACAAAATTGCTGTCTACATTACTGGGTCCTGGGTGGCAGTGGTGACACAAGTTCACATAGCAATCTTTTTTAAAAGAAGAGTACTCCCACATCTGTGATTCCAAATGTTTCAGGTCCAATATGTCCCAATGCACTTGTGAGTGGCTGGGTAGTCTATCTGAAAGATCCTCAAGAAGTCCTAGTAGAAGGAGAAAACTTTTGGGAATCACTAAGCTAAAGGACCTTCTTGAGGTTTTCTTTCTTCTTTTTGGAGACAACTTTGCAAACTGTAGGATTTCCACCACAGTTCGCAACACTACTGGCACCATTACTTTTGATTTTTCTTACAAGCCACTTCTCTGGGGACAAAGCAACAAGCTACCTAATATTTCTCAGGCTAGAGGTCATGAAATGTGCCTTCTGACCATAGTTTGAAAAGCTGCTGTTGCTTGTCATGGAATGATCTTAAGCTCAGCATGATTTGAGCTATGCTTGTTTCTAAAATGGGGCCCTGGAAATCTGATCCTAGCTGAACACGGGTCTCCCTGCTGTTGAAAACTGGAATGCTACTCTCAAAAAAGACAATTGTTTTATAAAGACAACTAAAACAGGGAAATTAAGATAAGAAGTCAGACAGAATTCTGAAATTTGAAAAAGGGTTTCCTTTTATTTTTTTTTTTTCCTTAGTTTTTTCTATCTTTGGAAGCTATAACATCCTCCTCCAGGAATTTCCAGCCCAGCAACTTCAGGCTACCCATCCTTCCTCACCTGGAACAGAGGCACATGGAAATTTATTTACTGTGACACTAATGAAGTTCAGCTTCAAGGCCTCTCACTTGCACTTCCAGTGTCCTAGGAGTGTCCCTAGTAATTCTGCATTGCTAATTTTATATTCCTTACTTTGATGTAGGCTCCTCAAATTATAAAAGCTTCAGACTCAACAAAACTCA